CAGAGGGAAGCTGAGGGATGAAAAGCACCTCTCTTCCCAGAAAACAGATTCCTCTTTCACACATTTTTCTCTCCCTCTTGATACCCCCATCCCCCCATTTCCAAAATGGGGCCTTTTTCCTCAGTCTTTTATGTGGGGACCAGGCTGGGGGAAGACAAAGTCTACTTGTCAGCAATATTCTGTTCTCCCTCCCTCTGGGGTCCCCGCAACAATGGAGCCATTATCGGCCTCTTACTCCATGGAGTGTTTCCTCTCTTTCCCGGGCTAATGAGGAGAGAGGCTGCCAGGTTGGACAAAGTGGGACGGTTTTCACTCCACTGGAGCCCCAGTGTGGCAAGCTCCGGGAAGCCCCATTATGGAGGCTGTCGGCCACTGTGGTGAGATCTCAAAGACCCTTGGGAGTGTAGCCATCAGTCAGCTTTGTGATTCACAGAGAATAGAAACGCGCTTCCCAGAGAGGAGACTTTCAAGCCTCCCTGGGCTTCAAGGTCTTGGACAAGCCCCACCGCTGACCATCGGGCTTAAGATCTCACCGGCACCTCATCAATCAGGAAAGAAACGTTTCCTGAAACGTTTGCCGCTCCCCACCCCCAGCCCCGCGCTGGGGAACCACACTCTGCTTGATGGTGTTAAGAAAATAAAAGGCTTGGCACCCCAGATTTGGGTCCGGGATCTTATGCCAAGATCAACTTCCATTTCTTCCCTTTTGACAGCTACTGGGAGCTGATGACTAGGGAATGCCAGACCCCTACTCCCGATGACTTTCTGGCCCATGGGTGAGCTTTTGGAGGTCCAGGCAATTCCAGAATTCCTGTTCAGTGATGGCTCCCAGAGCAAACTATTCACCACTCATCCCCCACCCCCATTAATTCAGTGGCCTTTCCCTGGGAGACTTCATCCAGCCTCTTGCAGGAACCTAGAACTGTATTGAGGACCCTCTTCCAGAGTAGAGGTGTGTTGGAGTCAAGGGGTCCTCTATATCTTGGGTCCTGCTTATCCTCGCACACTTCCAAGCTTCTGGAGAAAGTCGAGATACCTGACTGCGTCCAGCAGTGCATTGGCAACACCTGGGGAGGAACATGACTTGGTGGGTCTGGGTGTGAGGTACAAGGTGCCTCACCATGGCAATCTGGAAGGGAAGAAGCCAAACGGAGGATTGGTGACTAGAGTGAGTCCTGAGGTAGCTGTGGGTGCGGAGGGGAAAAAGGGGGCTCCAGCATCAGGTGAGCATTCCCTGCAGTGCTTGCCAAGTACAGCCCAGTGCCTGTAGATGTAAGCCTGCATCAGGAACCCCCAAGGTCAACTTCATTAGCCTGGACCACTTAAAACAGAGCCTCTCTCCTTTTAACACTCATACTTATTTTTATGAATGTTTTGCATGTATGTATGTAAGTGTACCCATGTTGTACAATGCCTGGAGGGCACAACAGGGTGTTGGATCCCCTGGAACTGGAGTTAAGGACAGGTGTTAGCTATCATGTGGGTGCTGGGAACTGAACCTGAGTCCTCTAGATGAGCAGCCGCTGCTCTTAACTGCTGAGCTGCCTCTCCAGCCCCCAAACAAGGTCTTTGAATTTTATTATTTATTTATCTATCTATCTATCTATCTATCTATCTATCTATCATCTATCTATCTATCTATCTATCTATCTATCTATCTATCTATTTATTTATTTATTTATTTATTTATTTATTTATTTATTTATTTATGTGTCTATGTGTATGAGTGTGTGCATACCACTCCACAGATGTGGAGGTCAGAGGAAAACTTGTGGGAATTAGTTCTTGCCTTCCATCATGAGGGTCCTCAGGGATTGAACTCAGGTCGTCAGGCTTTATGGCAAGCACCTTTACCTCTGAGCCATCTCACTAAATAAGTTTCTTCTGAAGTCATCCCCGATGGCCGCTGAAGGGTAAGGCTGCAACCTTGGTTATGCAGCAAAATCATTTGCTACTGGCTGGTATTAATCTTCCACTGCCCTGAACCAGCCAGGTCTGCTTTGGAGTAGCTCAGAAGAAGAAAAGGAAGCACGGCACTCAGAAGGAAGAAGAGCCAAGGGGACATTCAGAGACCCTGGGCCAAGGTGGGCAGAGGGGGCAAGACCGACCAGCAGAAGTGAGTTAACCTCAGGAGGCAGAGCAGAGGCCCTGTGGGTGAAGGGTTCCGTGGGAGCTCTGTAGAGGCAGCTAGGCTTAGATGGTAGGCTTATGTCTCCACAGCAATGGCTAGGCTAAGGTGGTAGGCTTGTGTCTCCATGGTTTTATTTACTGCAGCCCTCTTGGTCAGAGCAGAATCAAGTTGGAGGGGGTGGGCTTTGGGAAAAAGTCTCTGGACCCCCATAAAAGAGGCAGTCTGGGTGAGGCCAGAGAGTCCCTGGGGTAGCCGGGTCTGTTCTCCTGCAGCCCTGGGTCTTTGCTCAACTCCTGTTCTCCTATTGGGGAAGGCCTAGCTAGGGGCATTGTGAGGTGCGGGTGGACACTGACTTCATGGGGGGCTGCAGGGTCCAGTCTTGGGAAGGCAGGGTTATGATTTGTCACAGAGGATGGGCCCTCCACCCCATATGGGGGGGGGGGATGCTGCCTTACCAAGAGGCCTCAGACAAGGTTTTATGTATGTGTGTGTGGGGGGGGGCTGAGATGGCTCTGGGGGTAGACACACCTGCTGGCCGTCTCTCCCACCGTGGTGTAGTTGAGGGTCATTGGCACCTCTATGAACTCGTTCATCTGGAAAACAGCAGCCAGGGTGCCTGCCCTAGCAGAGGCTCAGACAGAATGGCTTTGCCCTGTACCTGGACGCCCTCCGTCAAGGCTGGGGGGCGGTTCCCTTCCTCTCCCATCCCAGAGGTCTGGGTCCCTCTCCATGAAGCTTGCAGGCACCGAGGTTTAGAAAAGCACACAGATTTATTGCATATCAATCTTGTGTATAAATTCATTGTAGCATCAGAAAGATTACATTTGGTATACAGTCCTATTCTACAGCATTGACCTCAAAATCAGCCTCTCCTGGGCTTAAGCTTAAAGAAATCTCTCTACACAAGTACATTTGTCTGTCACAAGCATTGAAATCTGCAAAGTCACTTTCGATGATTCTTTTGTGATTCTCCCAACGGAGATTTCCATATTCATCGGGAAGTGTGGTCCGATTTTGTGGGCAGTTCGGGACTCCTGGCCTTGACTTAGACCCTAATCACATATTCAATAAGTGCATCTAAAGGATTTTCCTCGTAATAAAAATTTCACACACAGACACAATAATGACAGCTAAACACAAGCCATGCACAGCTTTATCAACACAACAGAAGCCATTTACAAGGAAGGAGGCAGGGACAAGTACCAGCCTTCTCAAGGTTTTTTTTTCCAAGTTTTAAAAATATTATATGAAAACCAGACATTTACATTTGATTTATTTTTCAACACTATATAGATCTAAAAAGAGAAAAAAAAAACAAACCAGAAACAAACTGAACCAAATCTGTATGTAACAGCGGTAACGCTCGCACAGGTTTGCGATTCTTGGAGGTGTCAGGGGTAGATATTTATATTTATATATATATCTATATATCTATACTTTCAGCTAAGACGACAACAACAACACACACACACACACACACACACACACACACACTCTGGCTTTAAGTTACACATCCTGACACCAGGGCTCTGCTTCCCTCGTGCTGAGGAGAGCCGCGATCTGCAGGAGGCACTGAGCAGAGTGCCAGTTGCCTCCACTCACAAGCGGATTGCTTGTCTAGAAACTCCAGCTGCCTTTTTCAATTAAACTGTTTTTCCTTCCAACAAGTGGTAATATGAATCAGTGACAGGAAAGAATAAAATGAAGAAAAAATGGAATGACAAGAGAAAGGAACTTGTCTCGGAATAATGCAAGAACGTCTTGTCACAGTACCACTCAAAACTACAGACTCATGGCTTTTGATACCCGGCTGACATCCGCAGACAGGAGTGTTCCAGCGACTACCATCAAGAGGGAGCATCATCCGTCCATCCCCGGCTTCCCACCTTCCTGCCCTGGCAGCAGCACGAGGATGGGGGGTTTTTCTTCCCTCCTCTGAACAGCACAGTGAATACAGCTCAGTAGGGTTCAGTCACTTGGGCAGGAGAAGGTGGAGGACAGGGAATGGGGGCCACAATCCAGTGCTTCAAGGCTTCGAGTCTAAAACACATGATATGTATTTAGGCAAGTGCTTTGCAAATGCTTACTGGGGAAACAAATGAGGCAGAGGGAGCCAAGGGCTCTGTGAATCTCCAGGACTGGACTTTGGGAGGCAGAGGGGTTTGGGTCAGTCAGGGTCTGGGTAGACCTGTTCTCCTGGCCTTGGGTGAGAGGGCCCATCAGTCTGGGCAGGCTCAGCCATCCTGTGCCCACTCATCACTGCTACACACCCCCTGGGTTTGCACAAGGATATTCTGAGTTCCATTGATGCAGGGTTCACCTGGCCTGCAGGATGGGGAAGCCCCATGTGTCCTACCGAATGGTCCTAGAAATGGTAACAACGGGGTGAAGGGATGGCTTTGTTGGGGCCTGAGGGAAGGCACACTTGGAGGCCGCCATCTGAATTTCTATTCTGTGGGTTAAATGCCAACAATCAAAGGTATGTCATCAGTGAAATGGTCCTGACTCTGTCCACACTGCACAGCAACAGGTAACATGGTCCTGTTATGGCTTGGCGCTCCAGAAACCAGGATCTCAGAACTCTTGTATCTGGCCTAGCTCCCTGACTCTGAGAGGGTCTCCCAGGGCCTGATGTTGGACTTTAATGAGCAGGACACTCAGAAAAGTCAGGAGGACAGAGCTCACTGGTTCGGGGCAACGTGTCAGGGATGCACCAGTGCAGGAAATAGAGGCTCTCTTTGTTAAGGGAGGTCGAGGACAGAGCCTTCCAAATGTCAAGTGCTGGGCCCAAGGGACTGAGTGTTCATGAGAACCTAGGCTTAATGTCATCACTTTCAGGGAGGGGGAGAGAGAGAGACGGGGGGGGGGGAACTGGGACTGGGGGCTCCTGGGACGGGGAAGAACAGAATGGTTAAGGAATTAAGACAGAGGGACAGGGAGGTCCAAAGAGGGTGAAGGAACCTCAGCTGCTCTGCTACTGCCCAAAAGATGCACAGAGGTCCCTATCCAGACAGACTTCCCATTTTAGAGAGAGAAAATCACAGCGTGAAAAAAAGCACACACCTTACTCTTTCTTAGAAGAAAACATATAATTGGGGTTTACGGAGGTGGAGCACTTATATCTGAAGTGGAACTTTTACAGGGAGCCCATCTAGAGGAAACTGGAATTCCTAAGCTGAGGCCTGGCCCATTAGCCTAGGGGATAGCACGGGCCTGTGAAGAGGCTTGAACAGTTGGGTCTGCACGTCCTTAAAACCTCGGCTATGAGCGGGGCTGTCTTTCCAGTGTGCGCGTGTAAACGAGGCCTTGGTGTGCACACAGGCCAGTTCTCTCCAACTCAGGTCACTGGGATTCAGTAAGGGGGCGAGTCCCCTTCCCTGTGACCTGCAGGTTGCTGGCGTCAGCGGGGACTCCCCATCAGCAGTCTCCAGCACCAGCCTGGATCAGGCCACTTTGGCAGAGACGATTGTCTTTGGCGGGGAGCGGCTACAGCACGCGTGGATGCGTCCACTTGGAGGGAAACGGCACAGACAAACCTGTGGTGTGACACGCTCGTACCGACGCACTTTTTTGTAAGGGTGATTTTGGCGATTTTTTTCCTCTCTTTGTTAGGACGCTCATTTTTTTTTTTTTTCCTTCCAAACAATAAAAGAAATAAATAGGACATTTGTCTTAAATGCAACTGAAACTCAGATTTAACAAAAGCATGATTGTCTGGGCAGCAGTGGCAGCAGGATTCCTTGGGGGACACGGGTATTTGGCACATTAAAAACTGCCCCACTCCCTAATTATCGATCACACAATCACAACCTTATCACATGGTTTTGGTCCGTCACTAGATACTTATATTAACATTGTTTCTTCACAATAAGTTGTCTAATGCCAAAAATACTGTTAAGGAAGAAATAAAATAAGGAAAGAAATGAATTAGAAAAAATTACAAGTTATATACAGATTAAGGTAAATTCCATCAGGGAAAAAAGTATTTGAAATTGGCCCCTATGGGAATAATTTAAAGCCCATCCAAGTGGAGAAGCAGACACACCCCAAGGGCGCAAAGGCGTCTGGTCCCCCGGGGGCTGTGCTGTCTCTGCTCTTTGAGGTGGGTCCCCTGAATGGCCCCCTTCTGTTCCTGACCACATCTTGCCAGGAACCCACACAAAGTGTGGAAGTGGGGGCTGGGCGCGGTTGACCCCGAGGAGTCTTAGGCACAGGTAGTGCTTGGCGTCCTGGGGGCATGGAGTCAGTGACCATGGGGAGAACACCAGACTGCCAGGGTTGGGGAGGGGAGGAGGCTGGAGGCCCAGATGTGACTCAGAGCCCCTGCCTTCAGCAGCAACCAAGGGCAGCACTGGAGCAGCAGACGGGGAAAGACCATCGTGTCTGGCATGGATGACCTGAGCCACCGGCTCCCGACTTCCCCATACAATTGGGGGGTCTTGGGTGGGGCCTGTGGATTCCTGCAGGCTGCATGGGGCAAGGCCATCTCCCTGTTCCGGCCTCTGCAAGCCTGTGGCCAGGCACCATGTCCAAGCATTCCTGCGTAGAGAGTCTGCATGCTGTTCAGATGAGTGGCTCCATGACCCTTATTCCGTCTTGGGGGCACCCAGAATCACCTTGGCTTGTACAAACAGGGTCAGAAATAGAAAATTCTCCATTATCTACAGTATAAAGGGCACAGCTAAGCGGTACTGGATGCCCCGGGAGGTGTGGGTTTGCCAATAAGCTGAAATTTCAAAGCAATGCAAAATTACTTTTAAAAAAACAATTTGCAAGTCTTTTTTTTGATTTTTTAAAAAATACTGTCTATTTTTAAAACCCACATGCTTAAATAGACTCTATAGTCAATAAGATTACCAAAAGGGTTATCCATGTATTTTCATTATAAAAATCATTTGCGAGGTCTCTCTCCATAGAACAAGCTCACATCTCTCTCTCTCTGTTCCCTCCTTTGATACTGCGCAAGTGCCCAGAAGTGGCTGACTGGCTCCTGTCAGGATGCAGAGCCCACCCTCACCCAGCATGTATCTGATGAACTGCTCCTGGGAGCAGCTCCTGCGCGGCCGCCCAGCAGTGCTGCAGACTCATCCTCAAGGCCAGTTCTGAGAGGTCATGAAGGTGAGTGGCTGCTTGAAGGACCTTCCGGTTCTCAGTCACCGGAGAAGCTGGAGAAGCTGGACTTGAGCCACGGAGGGTGGGCGACTGGACACAGAGGAGAGGCGAAGTGAAGTGTCGGGAGCTCCTCCCCGGAGGCACCTCTGTCCCCTGCAGCTGCTACCCTGGCTTTGGACTCTGGTCCTGAGACCTCCAAGGACCTCAGAGGTGATTGATGGGGTTAAAGACTCCGGACTCCGATGAAGCCCCAGTGATGTTCAACCAAGCATCCAGTGAGCTCTGGGAGGGGGCGTGGAGAGGAGTGTCCTCAGAAAGGGACAGCATCATTGCATATGCCTAGTGGGGAGAGGACAGCACACAGAGGGCAGGTGAGAAGCATCCCAGATGGATAGGGCTGAGCCTCTCTGCACCTGGCTGCCCCAATCTGCCCAACCCTCCCAGACCAGACAGGGAAAGGGAAACAGACACTAGAGAGGCCCTGACTCCCTCTGGCTTGGGAGAGGGACGTGGAAGCTTATGGGTGCCCCTTCTACCCAGAGTGCCCACTGAGCCCCCTTGGTCTCTTTGGGGTGCTCCCCTGAAGTTTCACGCCCCCCCAGATTTCTCTGCCTATTGATCAGCAAAAATCTAATGCCAGGTGTCTGCTCTGGGAGTGTCCTAGGGATTGGTGGGAGTTATTGCTAATTCCTGTGCCACCAAGGGACCGCCTTTGCCTAGTGGGGCCTGTTTCGAAGACTGTGGTGATCATCCCAGAGCTGCTTCTTGGAACAAGGTAACTGATGGAATTATTATGGAATGTAGTGTGTTTGCCAGCCTCGGACCTCCTTCTGCACCAAGTTACTGGGCAGGAGGTGACAGGGCTGGGGGCTCTGTGGAGTATAGTATGTGAGTTACAGGTGGTTTCTGGGAAATCCCAGGGTGGGTCCCCTTGACCCCTGAGCAAACACTGTACAAAATTAGTAAGAGACAAAGACAGACACACAGACGGATTGTTCGGAGAATTGCGAGGTGGTACTTGGAGGTCTGCTGAGGTAGGGTGAGAGCCGAGCCCCTTCAGACCGCTAAAGAAGGGGATGCAGGGTCCTGTGGCTGCTGTCCCTGAGATGTGAATGCAGGAAGTGTCTAGGAGAAGTCTGGTGACCTCAAGAACCTGTGTAAACTCCAGTTTGGAAGCAGTGACCACCTGACAGGGACTCTTTCCCTGGAATAGCAGGGTAGTCACTTGTCCTGGCTTAAACTAGAGTTGGGAAGACCCAGGCGGCTGTGGGTGGGGGCTGGGACCTGCTTGTAGGTGTTTCCCTTGGGATGGGATGGGAAGGTTGGGAAAGTGTTTATCTGTTTCCAAAACCCCCCCGCTCTACTAGGCTGGTGGGGGCATCTCTCTAAGCAGTGCGGTGGGCATGGAAGGGGTCTGCAGACCCGAGGATCCCCTAGCCTCAGGATGGCCACAGCAGGAAGTGGATGCTCAGGTACCCCTTGGTGAGGAGGCACGGTGGCCATCTGCTGTCTGAGTCAAGTGGAGGTGGGAGGGAGGGGTGGAGCTCTGCCGGGTACCTACCTGGTTCTTAGCCTGCCTGTACAGGGTCTGTTTTAAAGTCTCAGAATCTAAGGTGGAATTAAGCACATCTTTAACTTCAAATGCTTCCTCAGCTGCTCTGTGGAGATCCAGCCCCTTCCCAAAGGTTGGCGTCGGCTCCAAAGCTAACAGACCGCCTCCTCGCTCAATGCACCTGCGCCAAGGACCAGGGAGAGGGGCCTGCGGTCAGCTCCTTGGCTGCCAGCATCTCTCTAGGCTTCGTGGCTGGCCCCCGTGCTTGCATGCACGCCACGGGTCTCCACGAGCCACATGCACAAGAGACAGACACACGGACACACAGACACCTGGATGGAAGGCCACACGGATGCAGGAGAGTGAGTGGACGGAGGGCAGAAGGGGTGAGTGTGTGCACACGTCACAGGCAGCAGGCGGTCTGGTCTTAGGGACGGAGGGTTGCAAGGGAAGCCTTAATTCTCCGAGGCTCTGAACAGGTTTAGAGAGGCTCCGGATTCCCTGCCCATCCCCAGGACCCAGGGACTGGGGAAGAAATGCTGTCTCCAGAGGACCAGCCCAGGCTATCTCAAATACTGGCAGCATCACCCACTGTTAAAAGGTGGCTGGAAGCAGATGAGACATGAGGAAATGCTTCTGGCTTGTACAACTTCTAAAGTCATGGGTGCTGGGCTCCTGACCCTCAGCCCCACCAGAGGCTGGACCCCACTGCCCTGGTTGGATGGGGGTGATGCACAGCTCCATGGCAGAGCTGAGGCCCCCTGCGTCTGGGGCCTGAGCATCTTCCTTCCGTCTCTCACTCTATTCCCAACCTCTGGAAGTCTTATGGAGGAAGGAGGTCCAGGGCTGTGAGTTCTGGACCAGCCTTACCCTAGTCCTCACTCTGAACCCTTGCAGCAGCAGCACCTGCTGGGCAGGGGTGGGATGAAGCTAGAGGAGATGGCTCCTGATGGTCGCCTTATCAAGTTCAGGGTTCCTCCCCAGCTGATCCCCTGGCACTTGGCCACCCCCACCTTCGGGTGTGGTCGAAGCCCACAGCCAGGGAACTGGGTGGCTCCTCGTCCTCCTCATCCTCGTAGACTCCTTGGGGCTCAGGCGTGGGAGACACAGTGTCCTCCTGAGACTTTCCAGCCAGGCTGTCGTCATCCTCCTCCTCCAGCTCTTCCTCCTCCTCCTCTTCTATATCCTCTGGCTTTGCATTGGCTGAACCTGGGCACTGGGGGTTGCCATCTAGGTCCTGGATCTCAGGCCTGCAATGACAGGGAAGTTGGCCATGACCAGGGGCCTTTCTCCTCACTGTAGACCTCCAAAGGTGACCGACGGCCTTGGCCCTCAAAGCCCTTCAAAGAGAGCTGGATCTCTGGTCATACATGGAGCTCTGCGGCCAAGGCCAGCTGCCTCCTTCCTCAGTCTCTGAGGATTGAGAATGGGGAGGCAGGGAGATCCAAGAGAGGTGGTATATTGCTGGTGGAGTGACAGGGGACAGGGCAGGGTCCCTGAGGTATGGACACCAGGCCAGTCGGAAGCTCATGGCAAATGTGGGTATTGGCCAGCAAGGAAGCTATGGGCAGGCCTGGAGGGGAGAATGTCCTGCGCTACTGCTGGTTCTGGGGTTGGGTGGTGTACAAAGGATGCTTGCAGGAGACTGGGATGGAAATGTTTCCAGGCTCAGTCCTGCTCAGGGTTCTGTGGTGCCCAGATGTGCGTTCTCCCTAAGCCAGTCACGAGGACCCAAGTCTGTAAGAACGGAAGCATGAGGGTTATGCTCAGACTGCTGGGGCCAACAGGGCACACCCGCCAGGACTAGCTGGCTTCAGGGAATGATGGTTTCTGGCCTGTACCCCAAACCCTACCTCAAAGCCCCCTGGATCTCTGCAGCTGGGTAGGGCTCCCCTCTTTTCTCTCTCTATAAATACAAAGGGCGACTTTTGATGTCCTCCTCAGCCTCTTCCCACCTTGTTTTCTTGACCTGGGGTCTCTCACTGGCCTAGGGCTCACCTGTTCAGCTAGATTGGGTGACCAGCAAGACCCATGGATCTGCCTGACTCTGCTTCTCCAGTGCTGGGATCACAAGGGTGTGACACCATGCTTGACTTTTTCACTTGGGTTCTGAGGACTGAATTTCAGTCCTCATGCTTACACAGCAAACATTACCAACTGAGCCATCTCCTCAGCCCTCTGGGCAAAACTTTTCTTAAAAAAAAAAAAAAAAAGATTTAGCCAGGCTTGGACAAAAACAAAAAGTGGGCTATGAACTGGATGTGGTGGCAGGTGGATCTCTGTGAGACTGGGGCCAACCTGATCTAAAAAAAAATACCTTCAGAAAGCTGGGCACGGTAGCACACACTTGTAGTTCCAACACTTGGAAGCAGAGGCAGGCAGATCTCTGTGAGTTCAAGGCCAGCCTGAACTCATAGTGAGTATCAAGAACAGCTGGGGCTACAGGGAGACCCTGTTTCAAAAAGACCAAAAAAAAAAAAAAAGATTCATTTTACTTTTATTTATATGTATGTCTGAATGTGTATGTGCGTGTGTGTGTAGGTGTCCACAGAGGCCTGAAGAGGGTGTCAAATCCCTTGGAGCTGGAGTTAACAGGTAATTATGAGCCACCTGTTGTGGGTACTGGGAACTGAACCTGGGTACTCTGCCATCCAGGACCTCATTATTTCTCATTAATAAGGATGAGTCAGGTCTAGTTTTTGCAGTGAGCACCACCAGCTTGGTTCATATTCAAGTTCATGACCATGAGCTGTGCCCCAGGTGAGCTGGGCCTCAGGAGCTGTGGGCACCTGGGCAATGTCCATTCTAGTGGAAGGCACAGCAAAGGACAAATGATTCTTGGACTCCATGTCCAGAGCACCCAGCCCAACTTGTCCCTCAGGGGCTGACTGAAGTGATGCTCATAATCTCTGAGGACACAGGGGTGCGGTTCTTGGCACTGAAGATGACTTTTCAGTGGGATCCACCTGCAGAGCGTGTCAAGGTCTCACCTGTGTACATGGGGCTGAGCTGGGGGGAGTCCCTGGCAGTATGGTGCAGACTCCATCCAGGTCACCGATTTCTTTCCATGTAAAAGCATGAGATGCTGTTGCCTGGCCCGCCCTCCAGGACAGGCAGACCCTTCACAGGCTTCAAGGCTTTGTGTGCCCCCGGTTTCCAGTCGTTTGTGTTGGGGCCAGTCTACAGTATGCTGTGCACATGTTCATCTACTGACAGTGAGGGCTGTGGGCCAGGTAGGGTCTGGGTCCTGTCTCCCTCAGTGGGATGACCTCTGACTGGGTTGGCTTCTGTGTCTGCGGCTTCAGAGTGTGAGAACTCAACCCTCACGGGATGAGACAGGATGAAACCGTGAGGGCAGATAGCCCAGTCTAGCCCTGGAGAATGTTCACTAGGTAGCTGGGGTCGGTTAGCCATGCCTGCTGGTTGGGCCTGTGCAGGGCTAGTGGAACTCTGCCGTTTGGAAGTACAGACCGTGCCCTCTCTTCTTTACCGCCTGCTCTCAAGTGTATGGGGTCCAGCAGGGACAGCAGGGGCCCTGCAGGGCAATCTCAGCTTCAGCTAGGAAGACAGCTGCCCTGGTGAAGGCAGGACAGCTGCCCTAGAGGCAGATGTGCCAGTGTCCTGGCTGGCGTGGCTCACAGCAGCCGGAACCAAGGGTCTCGGTCTGGGAGGCAGAAACCCCAGGTGAAGGTGCTGTATGGCTGGTTCTCTAAGGGAGAATCTGCCACAGGCAACTCGGTAGCCTCCTGTGTGTCCTGCAGTCATTGGCTCTCCTTGGTTACCTGGCCTCTGTGACTGTGCATGGGGTGTGTGTGTCTATCATGTCTATTCAAATGGAACGTTGTTGAAACCTGATCACCTCTGTAGAGACCCTGTTCCAGGCAGTCACCATCTGAGACACTGGGTTAGGATTCTATGGATAACAGAATCCATTCACTGGGGACACAGTTCAGCACACTAGCCTTCTTTTGGGTTGTGTGACCAGGAAGCCTGGTAGGCCTTAAATTCTTACTGATCACCAAAGGAATGAGTCACTCTGAAGGAGACCTGGAGGATGTGGGTACCAGTTCTAACTGGGCCTGCTAGCGTCCCATCAGATGGCCCTGTAATGGCAACCTTGCCAGTGACGCGGGAAACATCCCTGAGGTTCTCAGATAAGGCTAGCTGGATCTTGGGGACCTCCCCTCAGCAGGATGAGCTAGGTTTGGGACGGGGCTGGCCCTGTCCCACCCAGCTTACCATGTTGTCAGCTACGAGGGAATTGTGGGGCACCCTGTTGGAACACCAACGACAAAGATGGGTGTTACGAAATGGAGCTCAGCTGCTCTACCTTCCAGAGATTTCTCTTGCTCTCCGGGTCATATGGAGGGTCCCCGGGCCTGCCACTGTGGCTCAGGGCACTGGGGTTTTGTAGTCTCCTGGGTGCCTACTCACACCTGGTCATGGTCTGCCTCGGCAAGGAGAAGTGGAAGGTTCTCCATTGTTCTTTGGCTGGCTGTGTCCCTGGGGCTTGAGGAAGGCACCTTTTGGGGCTTGTCTTGAACAGCAGGATAAGCCTTGGGGTCCTGTGTGGGGTCAGTGCAGGCCTAGTGTGGGGGTGCTCACACTTACACACAGGTTGCTCTGAAGGGGAGAACCATGCAACTGGACAGTAAGTGGCTGTCAGCTGTGGTGCCTGAGTGGCAGGGTCAGGTTCCCTTCAGATCACTGTGCGGATGCCGGGATACTTTGTGGGCTGCAGCCGGGGCTCTGATACGTGAAGATCAGGGTCCTCCATGAGAACAGAGATCTGTGAGCAGCAGAGCTCAGCAGCCTCATCACTGATGGTCTGGACCAGTCTTCGCAGGTCTCCCCCCTCACCACTACCAGAAACAAAGAAGATGCAGCCTGCCTTGCAGGTGTAGATGGGACCTGAGGGGCTGTGTCTCTGGGGGACCCTCCCTCTCTTCCTCAAGGTGGCTGAGAGGGAGCCCAGACCTGGTGCCATAGGGCCGCAGTCCACAATGGCTCATGCAATCAAAGTCTGGATTAGGCTCCAGGTTCTGCGTGGCTGTGGGCTTCAGCAGGGCACCCCACTTGTGCAGGCCTCTGGTTCCTCTGTGCAGAACTGGGCATCCCTTCCTCAGTCCTTTTGGGCCTTGCAGCACTTCTATTTCTCAGCCAGTGACTTCCCTGACTTTGACTTTGGTCTCCTGGTATTCAGATCTCTTTTAGAGTCCCCGATTAAAGGACACATTGAGACTTGGATGCAAAGTTGTACATTACCCGCAGGCCCGGGGTGCTGAATTCTGCCGTCTCTGTGTGTATGTGTATATCTGTGTATGAGTGTATATAGTTATATACATATACACACTGCATATACTCATCATACATGGATGCACAAGGCACACATGTACATGAACACACATGTGTCTATATAGGTGTGCACATATGCATGTATTTGTACATGTGCATATGATGTGTGTGTGTGCACATGGTCTCTGACTTACAAAGGTTCACTTAGTATTTTTCAACTTTACCTTGATGTGAAGGTCTCATGCATCTAGAAGGATCCGTACATTGAATTTTGATCTTTTCCTGTGCTAGGGATGTGTGGTAGGTATAGTATTCTTGGGTGATACTGGGCAGGGGCAGGGAACTAGCTCCCAGGCAGCTGTGAAGTCAGAAGGGGAAGTCAGAAGCCAGTGCTCCACAGCACACTGTGCCATCAGTGTTTTTGGACGTGGGTCTTCAGCCAATCACATGAGCTGTTTATGTCTTTATTATGGACAGGGCTCTGCTAGATGGCTGTGTGCTGCAGGCTACCCTGGGTGTTCTGCGTATGTTCAAGGTGGGCTGGGCTGGGCTGGGTTGTAGTGCTTAGTCGCTTGGGTCTGTTGAGTTCATTGTTGAACCACAATCTTTACATCTTAAGGTGAGTGTGTTACCATGTAGCCCCAGTATAAACGGAGGAGCCTGAGCACAAACGCGTGCGTGTGTGTGTGTGTGTGTGTGTGTGTGTGAGAGAGAGAGAGAGAGAGAGAGAGAGAGAGAGAGAGAGAGAACAGGCAGCATGTCTGAAAGTAAGGGCCTGGATTAAATATACCTCAGGGTTGAGGACAGTGGGTTTCATGTGATCTGTGTGCTCTGAGGCCAGACCGTGCTGGCTGCTACTTGGCCTGTGTGCTGCATCTCACTGGTGCATGATGCCTGTTATCCCAGGGGCTCACTCTCCAGCAGAGCCTGAGGCCTCCTCCACATAGGGTCTGGTATCATCTAGGGTTGAGGGGACACATACCCTGAGCAAAACCATCTGGAGCAGCTGAGGTGAGACCTGCCTGAACCAACCCGTTTTTCTTACCGTTTGTCTGTTCTCGTGGATGCCTGGTTCATCTCGCTGTTGGCGATGAAGTTTCTGATCTCAGAGAAGTAGGAGTCTTCCTTCTCGTCCAAAAGTGCATGGTTGTCGGACTCGGAGGTGGGGGAGGAGGTGCTGGTGCCCAGATGGTTCGTGAGCACCCCGGAGTGCTGGCTCACTGTGGACGGGGGGTGGGGTGGGGGGGTGGTGTCAGGGGCATTCTCGGGTGCGCCCTGTCCCCAGTGACCTTGTGCACGCGGGGTGGTCTTGGGGTACTGTTTCGTAGGGAGCGGTCCGCAGGGTGAGGTTGCCTGCGGCCCCTCCCCAGGCAGGCCTCTTCCCCGTCTTGTGCCCGTGCCGCACCCACCTGGTGCACCCTCGTGTTCGTGCTTCTTCAGGTGCCGGTCCAGGTTGGTCTGCTGCCCAAAGCACCGGTTGCACAGGTGGCACTTGAACGGCTTCTCCTTGTTGTGAATGTTCCTCACGTGCCGCTGGAGGTTGGAGGAGATGCTGAACGACCGGTCGCAGTACTTGCACCTGGAAGACAGGTGTGCCTTGCCTCAGAGGGGCGGGAGAGGAGAGCTAGGTGTGCTGGGTGAGGGCTGGACCTTTGTCCCCATGGTTGCTGCCGCCCACTCTGGAGCCCCTGAGGCCCCCCGGACCACCCAGCTGCAGAATCTAGAGACTTCCCAGGGCTGCTGTCCCTGGAGACAGGCCCTGTTTGAATTGCCCCTGAGCCGGCAGAGGGAGTGAGATGCGGGGCTCTCCCCTCCCCTCCC